CCCTGCTTGGCAGGGAGTCTGCTTCTCCCATTCCCTCCCACTCATGCTCTCTCTCTCAAATAAATAAATAAAATCTTAGGAAAAAAATTAAATTTTAATACTTAAAAAAAAAAAGAAATTCATATATAGGTAAAGCAAAGTTCTGTTTCCCAACCTAAATCAGAGAAATCATATTTCCAAATGGGACTTCTTAAATAATCATAACTACCATTTAATTTGGCATAAATGATTTTATAACACAGTCACTTACCCGATTATAAAGCTGTGTATACATAGTCATAACAAAAATGAAGGCAGCATGAATACAACCCAGTGGTGCTAAAAGGAGAAACAGTGTGAACGAAGCATGATTTTGGTAACCACAACAATTGTTGATCCAAGGACAGTGATGGTCCATCTTCATCACACATCTAACAAGAAAAATTTACATAAAACATGAGGCAGAAAATCCTGTCTACTTTAAATAATTTTGGTCTTCAAAAGATCATGCAAATAGGAATCCAGCATGTCCATGAGTCTCAGAGGAATTATACTCCATGGAACAGAAAGCAAAGTCTTTATGAGTTTTAAACAACTCTGAACAGTAACTTCTTTCAAATTCTAAACAGCATGAGAAAAGTCAGGCTTTGTGACAGGTTCTGAGGAAAAGATGTCTGCTACAAGTGAGTTTGTTTTAAGAAGTCAAGAGGCCCACTGAGAGGTTCATTACAAAGAAATAAGCATGGGTTCCTGGTCTTTCTCTAGCTCTGAAATGCAGTGACCGGACGGAGTACAACAGAGATTCAACAAAATCACTTCTAAATCTCTACCAGGGTTGGCTGATGGGACCCAGCAGACCTTATAACTTCCTTCCTTCCTGTTCTCATCCTTTAGATGTGGATTCTCTGAGCTAAGCAAGCTAACTATGGAATATAAGATGTGGTATAACAAGCAAAGTCTTACTGAGCTTCCTTCCCTTGTTGCTAGAAGAACATTTCCTGGCCTCACACCAAACTATATTTGCCACAAATGGTTTTCCTAAACCTCAACACTGTCATCACAAATTTCTTATTAACTGGTGGAAGAGCTGTATATTTAAAAAGGTTCTAGTTTATTTCATATTTCTTATAGTGATTCAGTTTTCTTCCCATTAAGTTTTTTATATTACACACTAGTGACAATATGCACCTGAATTCATTTATTAGATATGCATAAAGTGTAAATGTTACTCAACCCAAATGATGGAAAGGGCAGGAGGTGTCCCTTATAATTTAGACTCAGAACAATTCTAAAGCTAGTCATGATGACAGCAGACAAGCACAATTAATCCTGATCTATGGAAACAACTTGAAGGCATAACTTTTTACTCTTGTCAGGGCAAGAAGCAAAGTAAATGTGTATTTTTTCCAAAAAGTAAATAAGTAAATAAATAAATAAAATCTTTTCACTTATGACAAAAAAGAGTGAGGATTATTTATTATCAAAATTGATAACTTAAGAATAAAACGGAGATATGGACACAAGTGTTTTGACAATGTTTTTTATAAAGAAGCCACCTTATAGAGACTAAAACTCAGATTGACGTGGTAGAAAGAACAACATTAAGACCAGTAATCAAGTTGATCAGTCCCCAGTGAGGAGCAAAGACAGTACCTGTTACACTTTCTGCAGTGATGTGACCGTGGCGCCTTGTGTGCTTGGCAGACTTTACAATACTGGAGGTACATGCTATCCTGAGAATCTTCCTTGGTAGCAAAACATAAACAAAAATATATCAGTTATCAGTTGTCTGATCCTAAGTAATAACATGTCAGGTCTTATGAATAAATGCTTCGGTACAGTTTTATTTTCTTTTATGGGAGGTGAGGATAAGGATGGAATCCTAACTTGCATTTCCAGTCCTTTTATTTGAAATACTTTTAAATAATGAGTTTCTGGTAACAGCTGCATTGCTCTTCCAATTACCAGAACTCATTTTTAATTTCTCTTCCCCATGCTCCACCCAAACCCACTGCCACTGATTGTATTTGGTTCTACTTTTCCAAACTCCTAGTAGAATGGGAGGAGTTCTGGAAAAGGGTAGCTGACCTGTGGCAGGTATTTTGGAGGTGGGGATTCAAACACTGGAGCTGATAGTCTTTAGGAAATCTCTCTTGCACCATTTTAATCACTTCTAACTACTTTCCTTTACAGTAGTTTCTCTCTAATTCAAACTGTCTACTGTCAGAATAATATTCTTATAACACAACTCCGATTAGGTCAGAGCTTGGCTTGAAAACCTCTCCTACCTCCCGATGGCCTAACAATTCCTCATGCATTTAAGGCCTTCTGCAATCTGCCTTTGTTTCAGCCTTACTGGTACTACGTAACCTTTATTTCTGACTATAGGCTTCCACCACCTATCAACCTGAAATGTCTTCATCCCCATTAGTGGAAATTTCTACTCCTCCTTCAGGTCCACAGCTAAAAAAGATCAGGTCCTTCTAGCTTCAACAGCACTCATCCCATTTTCTCTATAGTTTAGTTACTTACACAAGTGCCTTGGTTTCTCTCAATTATAAGGTTTTTCAGAATACGAATTTGTCCTACTCATCTCTGTACCCACTTTAAATAGTACACTACATTAGTGTTTCTCCAACACTAACATACCTAAGAATCACCTGGGGATTTTGTTAAATGCTGATTCTGATTCCTAGGTCTGGAGTGGAGCCCAAAACTCTGCATTTCTAACAAGCTATCAGGTGGTGTCCCTCAGCAAGCAATATGGAAATTCATGAGCATAAACTTTCTACAATTTTTAAAAAGCCACAAATTGATTCACACTGTACTTCCTTATGCGATGATTTTAACATTGATTTTAAAACTTTATGATTTAAGCCAGCAATTTCTAAAGAGGTTTTCTCAGTTCTGAGGGCTGTTAATGTATTACATGACAAAAGATCCTAGAGCCAAACTGCACTGTGGAATTATAAGAGGTGTATTACATGAGTATTTCTTAAATTTAGGACTATACACCCCCCAGTCCCCTTCATTCTTTTCTTTTTCCTTTAATGCAGGACAAGTATTCACTAAAATTTCTCTGGGAAATACTAATTTAGATGAATATTTTCAAACAGATACAAAATAAATTCTTTGAGCTCTAAATGATTAGTAATTAGAATAAGATGCTTAGCCTCTACCAAGGCAAAAAGTAGGCTGTGTCTGATACTATTGGTTAGCAGATAAAGCCATAAACTAAATATATGATTATCATTAGAGTTCCTTATCTTAAGGGATCTTTTTCTTACCGGTTTCCACCCCAAAGGAACAAAGCCAGGACCAATAAACATGGCATTGAAATAATTATAAAGAATCATGACAGTCCAGTTTATCAACATGATGAAATTCACGCTTCCTCCAGTTGTATGTAAAGGCCAATACCACAACACAGAGTCAATCATGGCCATCGTAGAACATATTGCTATAACACCAAGGGCTATGATGGGACCCCAGTGACACAGTCTCTTTAATTCTTGGAGATTTTCAAACTTGATAACTGAGCAGAATGTACCCATTTTGGTGAGGAAGAATGTCTTCCTACTTTTAGAAAATTATAGATTTCCTTTTTCTGTGCACACATTTCCATGTGCCACAAGTCCATGTGTGTTCCTTAACTGTCATGCCTTCAAGCTATGGGATGTTAATGCAGATTATGCCACTTTCATTGTTACACACTCAGAGCTCTTTATCTTAATTAGGAGAATCCAGTATCTTGGCTTGAAACCCAATCTAAAAAACAAAATGAGAAAGTTCAGTAAAAAAATTTATTATATACTATTTAACTCCAACAACCACCTAAACAAAGGCATCTCACAAGTGCACTACTATGGGATGAGCACCTTATCAAATGCCAAAGAGAACTATTTTTATCTGATCCAAAATAGGGCTCAAGTCTGGATGGCATATAAACTGGATACATGACTCTAAAATAGTGGTTTTTATTCCTTTGTTTTCAACTTGTCAGGGAACCGTGACTGTCCCACGTTTAGTGAATGGTTTGAGGAGACAAAGAATTTTAGAGCTGGAGCAGGCTTTGGGGTTGACTGAATCCAGCTTCCTTCCTCATAGAAAAGAAATTGGCTCGGAGAGGCTAAGTGATTGCACCAAGCTCACAAGTAACAGCTGCTCCTAGACTAGAAACCAAGTCATCGAACTCCTTTTACGAAGTTCTCAACTGCCTTTTACCGAGTCTCGATTTGTCAAGTATGAGCCCGACACGGTCTATACATTTGCCTGCGGTTACCCCAAAACGCCAACTTAAGGATCTATTTGGGCCAAACGTAAAGAGGCGAGCGAGTGAAAGCAAAGAGAGAGTGAAAGTAGGGGACGGGAGACAGAGGTGTATGTGTGAAATCACGACTTGAGGAACACGGGAGGATAAACATGAATGAACGTTGAGAAAAGGAGGAAGTGCCTCCGGAGCGAGGGACAGGGAAGGCAGAACCGCGAGCGTCGGAAGATCTGTGGAAGGATTTCTGACTGGACTGCAGTGAGTCAAGGGAAGATCTCAGATACAGGGTAATAAGGAGTTTCACGCAACAGATGCTACTGCCTTGTGCCCCAGGTCCCCGCCCGTGTCACGGAGCACAGCGCTTAGAAATCGTCACTCAGGGGAGAAACATTCTGGCAAGCGTGGTTGGTTTCAACATTCTGGAGATTCTGGGCTCACTCGGGCGGGGCGAAGACCGCCAAAATCATAGTTATATCCCTTGCCTTGACTCCCACCTCAGTCTGGTCCTTGGTGCCCGCTCCTCGGCCATCGCATTTCCGGGGCCGCCTGGGCTCACCCGGAACAGGTTTTCTCCTCTTCGGATAACGCCGTCATGGGGACCTCAGTCCAGCGCAAGCAGAAAGCAGATCCTGCTTGTAAGAGGGTGGTGTGCGGAACCTGCCGCGACCAGTCTGTCTTCCAGCCAGCGCTGTCGCCGCTGCTCTCCAGCTCCCGCCCGGTGCGCGCGGTCTTTGCGACAGCCACTTCCGGGAGGTTCGCCTCATCAGACTTCCCTCGGGAAGCAAGTTTCTGGGATCTATAGCTTGGGGAGCCGGAGCCGCTTTCCAGAACGTGGAGGGGCAAAACATGCTCTCAGTGATCCCCGAGATCCCGAAGGCTTTAGGAAGCTTTGTGGGGCGCTAATAGAAGTGCTTTTCTTTCGCGAATTTTCTTAAAATTTGAAGCCCGAGCGGACAATAAAAAACGCGCACAGGCCAAATTCCGGAGGACTGAGATTGCGACGAACAACCAGGAAGCGGCTAGGCTGGGAGCTGTCCCCGGTTCTCCACTCTGCTCTCGAGGCCCCCTCCCGGGGTCCTTACGCCGTGTTCCTCTGTCCCGCGTGGTCCTTGCCACGACCTGGGCTCCGGCCCGGGACGATCACTCCGGAGCCACCATGTCATCCGACTTCGAAGGCTACGAGCAGGACTTCGCGGTGCTCACGGCAGAGATCACCAGCAAGGTTGCGAGGGTCCCCCGACTCCCTCCTGGTGAGAGCACTGACCCGGCAGAGTGGGGGTGGCCCCGAGGGCGCCGAGGCTCGCGGGCGGTGGAACGTCTCCGAGGCGCCAGGTGCTGCAGGGGCTCTCCCTGAGCGACGGAGCTGGACTTGGTTGAGGGTAAAGGCACAGTCCAGGCTGGGTTGTGGCGTGCGGTGAGAAGAGCTTACCCTATCTGAGCCTTCTGGGCTGGAATCCGGACTTCACCGCCTTGTTACTTGTACAACCTTGGGAACGTTTCTCTGACTCTTAAGTTTTTTGTTTTATTTTGTTTTGTTTTATTTGTAAAATAGAGGTGTGAGTATTCAAAGAGAGTGAATGAACGTACCTAGATCATAGCTCTGCAATATACAGTAACCAGTTGTTTTGTTAGTAATATTATTATTATTATTATATGAGGCGAAAGAGGATTAAGAGCCATGGTACCAGGATTCAGATCGCAGCTCTGCCACTTAAAAGTTGTGGCACTTAACGAAAGTTTCTTAAACCGCTCTCAACTTTCCTTCTTGGTAAAATGGGGAGAACTGTACGTCTCTCGTGGAGTTATGGAGATTAAATGATTTAACATGTGGAAAGCCCTTTTTTTGGTGTTAGCTGCTATAATCATTAGTATTTTTCATACCCCTAACCCCATTTCTTATTTCTCAACCTTCTTGGGAGACTGTAACCTAGTTTTATGTAACACTTGGTACAGGATAATTTTGCTAACTTTTAAAATTCCACGTATCCCATCTAGAAGTGTTACTGATTTTGTTTTTGTGTTTTATTTTTTTTAAAGAGTTTATTTGAGAGAGAGAGCGCGGCGGGGTAGGGGGCGAGGGGCAGAGGGAGAGGGAGAAGCAGACTCTCCGCTGAACAGGGAGCCCACTGTCCTCTGGGGGTTCCATCCCAGGACTCTGGGATCATGACCTGAGCCAAAGGCAGACACTTAACCGACTGAGCCACCCAGGTGCCCCTTGTTTTTGTGTTTTAGCATATCTTGCTTTCCATGCTAAACTGTCAACTATGAAGGTGGGAGCTATGTTTGATTTCCTTGGCATTTACTTAGAAAAGGGCTCAGAAAAATGTTTAAGTAAACGAACAGATGAATATGAATATGATATTTGGTAATTTTTTTGTATGTGAGACATTGTTTTAGGATTTATCTTTCTTTAAGTACAAATTTAATTTGAGTGGTTAGTTGCAGATCAGATTATTACTTTTAGCTTAGTTTTGTTAGGGAAATTGAACCATCGTCTGGACTTGGCCCTACCTGGCTCTGGGGTGTAGTGCGAAGAAAAGAGGATGCTCACTGATTTGTGAACTGGTGGGCAACTTCCAATTTCCCACCTTGTTAGTCAGTCCTTGATGCCAGCAGTCATTTCTGCAGGACCTCAGTTGTCATTCCTCTTTCCCTTTCCCTACTTCCCCCAAACTTGTGTGTTTATAAATAATTTTCTTCCTTTATTTCTTTGTTTTTCTTTCCCCCTCCCCCATCTGTTTTCTATTAATAGGGACATTTGCTTGAAACCAGGATCTCTGAACTTACACCCCACTCATCTCCTGAAGTCCCAGTTAGTTCTGGTGAGGTGGATGATGTCTTAAAGAGGTTTATGAGCCCAAGTGAGGGAACAAGAGGACAGAACCAAGGCAGCATATACCACCGAGCTCTGCTGCCTCAGAGATTTTTGTGGAGAAAGTGGCTGATGGCCTCATCACTTCATGATACATCACCTCGTCTCTTCTCTTCAGTTCCGCTTTTCTCCACCGCCCAAGACCATCTTGATTTTTGTTATCCTTGTTGCTGGAGACTACTTCCTTTGACTTGAGTCCCAGAGTCTCAGAGTATCAGGACCTGTGATTTCAGTTGCATTTTTATTTATTTTTAATTGTAACAGTTTTAACAGAGAAGCAGTTTCTGTTTGGGCTTGTAGATTTTGTATTGGGAAGGTGTTTTATATAAAGTAACAAAGTCATCCGTGGATGCAAAGTTGTAAAAGTTGTTTCCAAGAAAACAGATTTTGTTACAGTTCATTTTTTTTCTTGTCTTTGTTTTAATGTAACCATTCTTACCATATAGAAGGAAACCTTTGGTTTAAGTTCCTTAAAAATAAAGCCTTGACTGGCCTTGCATATAATATAATGTAAGGCCCAAACATAGCAGCTTCACCAGAATTGAAAGAAGACTGTGTAGTTGGCACTGGAAGAATGCTTACTGACCTGCCTAATTGAATGATAGTAATTCTTAAAAATGTAGTAGTTTCCCTCTTGATAGTTACTTACGCTTGCTCCTTTTATAATCTGTTTCTAATTGATAAATGGAAAAGGATGAAAAGTATATCCACGGAGTTAGGAATTTCAGATATATGTCTATGAACTAACAAATTAATATGTATCACCATTAAAAAAAAGTATGATTAAAAGTAATTATAATCTCTCTGGACATCATTAGTGGTTGACCTAGAGGAGATGAACTATGATTTACTTGATTTGAGAAGTTTAAACTCAGAGCAAACTTTGCAGCCAGAGCAGTTCATTCCCCCAACTTATTAACTTATTTAAATTGAAATAGAGAGAGTAGGATTGATTGCAATGAACTTCAATCTCTGCTGTGCATGTACAATGTATTAAAGTGTTATCTCCAGAGAGAATAGAAAAGATTGAGTATTTTAAAACTTCATTTTAAAGAAGAAATTTGATTACTCTGTGACACGTTTTAAACAATAAAAAGACTTTGCTCTTAGACTGAAGTGTTTGAATTTAACTAATGTTAGTACTTGGATTAATGAAACAGATCAGTCCCTTCTTAGGTAGTATTTTTATGACACTGTATTTGAAATTTAATTTTAATGATTAGAGTTCTGTGGCAAAGTCAGGAAAACAGATGAGTGAAAACCATAACTAATACTAATTGTGAAGTTATTTTTCCTTTGGTGAAGAATCCTAAGTGGGGGGATACTTTGCAGAGGTTCCCTTACATCAGGCAGGCATCCTCAAGAATCTTAAGTACAACGTTCTTCTGCAATTATTTGCATACTTCATTTACAGAGAGATAAATGGTCTTTTGTGAATCCAACCATTTTGTAAGATTCACACATGGCATTGGATCTGTTTAGAATCTCTGCTCTGCTACTTACTAGATGTGCAATCTTGGACAAAGTGCTTGGCCTTTCTAAGCCTGCTTCCTCTATCTTTAAGTCGGGGAGAGGAGGTAATTGCTTCAAACTTACAATGTTGTAAAAAATCAAATGAAAGAAAGCCTGGGACACACTAGCACAATTTTCTTCCCAGAAAATGTGCATGATAAATTAGCTATTAGCAGTACTATTGCTACTGCCTAAGACAGCAATTGGTAGGGTTAGGTAGGACCCAGCTTCTCAGACTTTGTGATATTGAACTCTTAAAGGAAACTTGGACCTCAATTCTTGCTTCCTTTTCTGCCTAGACTAGAGTTAGGTTGATCTCTCTTGCTGATGCTTACATTTGAAAGGATATGAGTGATCAGGCTCTTTGGGATATGAAATGAAATTGGGCTTTGAACTCAGGATATCAAGGAGGGAGGCAGGGAGAGAAGTGAAAGTGGTGGGGCAAGACAGGTGTCCTTTCTGGAAGAAAATGCTCAAGTTTCTCTCATTAGTTATGTCAGTTCTTGGAGGCTTTTGAAGACCTCTAGACGTAGCCATGAACAGAAGAAACTGTAAATGTTCCATGATTAACTCTTGGCCTTTGTAGTTGTAGTGGTTGTAGGTGGAGAATTCAGAAGTCTGCCTTTATTTATGAATACTGTGGTTTGCTTAAAATGCATGTGGCTCTGGAACTGTAATGTCCACATGTTTCTACTGAGTGCTTGGAATGTGGCTACAGAGTGAAATGATAATATTTTGGATATATTGGGCTAAATATTATTAAAACTATATACATATATTAAAGCTAATTTTACTTTTTAAAATGTGGGTACTAGAAAATTTAGAATTACATATGTGACTTGCATGCATTACATTTCTGTTGTTCTAGAGAGTTAGAGTTGAAGAGATGGTTCCAGTCCTTGAATTCAGGAACTTAGGTGCACAGTAAATTGGATTGTCATACTTTAATCCCATACCCACACTCTAATCCCAGAGGGACCACTCTCCCTTCAACAGTGTAGTTAAGCTGAGTAATGGCTTCATTGATATTTTAAGAAATAACTTTTAATTTCAGAACAGGTTTAGATTTATAGAAAAATCACAAATACAGAGAATACCTATATGTCCTATGCCCAGTTTCCTCTATTGTTGACATCATATATTAATATGATACATTTGTTGTTGCAGCCAGTGAACCTATACTGACACATTATAATTAAGTGAAGTCCATACTTTGTTCAGATTTCCTTATGTTTTGTTTTGTTTATCTGTTTGTTTTACCTAATGTCCTTTCGCTATTCTAGGATCCAGGCCAGGATACTACAAAACATTTAGCAGTTAGGGCTCCTTATGTTCCTCTTAGCTGTGACAGTTTTCTCAGACTTTTCTCTAGACTTCAGTTTAGAGGAGTACTGGTAGGATATTTATAGAATATTCCTCAATTGGTATTTGCCTGATACTTTTCTCATGATCAGACTGGAGTTCTGGGTTTGGGGGACAAAGATCACAGAAATAAAGCACTATTTTTATCACATTATATCAAGAATATACTGTAACACAACTTATCACTACTGATGCTAACTAACTTTGACCACCTGTCTGAAGTAGTGTTTGTCAGGTTTCTCCCCTGTGAAGTTACTCTTTTGCTTCTTTTCCATACTCTTTGGAAGGCAGTCCTATGCACAGCCCACACTTCAGGAGTGGGGAATCATATTCCACCTCCTTGAAGACTTAGCATCTTAAACCATTTGGGATTCTCTACAGGAGAGATTTTGTCTATTCTTCTCCATTTACTTATTCAGTCATTTATATCCATGGGTTCATGGTATTTATTTTATTCTTTGTATTGTATTCCAATACTACTTTATTTTGTTGCTCAAATTGTTC